CTAATGATAGATGAAGTCCAATCGATAGATGATAAAGGCCAATAACTGACGAAGGTTGTTGTCTGATGGTGACCAAATAAAGAAGAAGATAGTTGGCTGATGAAAAGCTATTGATTGACGAAGGTTGATAATCTGACTAAGGCTAACCGAAACCAATGATAGATAAAAACAATTGACCGATGATGAAGGCTATTGGTGATGAAGGTCTGTTGACCGATGAAGGCCAAGACTAGAAGGCTGTTTAATGACAAAGGCTATTGATTGATGAAGGCCAATGACTTAACGAAGGCCAATGAATGACAAAAGCCACCGGATCGAGGAAGGCCAATAAGCGGCGAAGGTCATTGATCGATGAATGCCAATAGCGACGAAGGCGGCATTTGTTGAAGGCCAATAACTTGACGAAGGCATTGTCTGATGAAAAACCACTAAATGATAGAGGATTACTGAGCTATCTAACGATGGTTGAATATTTCAAGAGAATGACTGATTGATGGATGTCTTGGTAGTGAAGGCAAATAATTGATCAATGCCACCGACCGGATGAAGGGCAATAATTGATGAAGACCAAAGGATCGATGAAGGCGAAGACCATCGACTCGACGAAGGTCAATAAAGATGAGATCTATTTTCCGGTGAAGGCTGCCTGTGCCTTTGTCCAAGTTAGGTGCTTTCTTTCTGGGAGGTCATTTTGTACCCGTGAGCCTTTGGCTTGGGGTGACAGAGGGTCCTCTTTGCCTTTGAAAAAAGTCTATGAAGTCGAATCTCGTGGCTCCATTACTAGCCACTTTCAACTTAGGTTTTGATCTTTCTCATGGGGTATTTACTCTTGGTTTAGTGGCATGTTCCTCAGGCTCTAGAAACACTTAAGAGAAACATTAAACGATGGGTCATTAGAACACAAACACAAAAGATGCAAGAATCTTGACCATCGTCAAGGTTAGTTCATAAATGTATATATTATTGATTTTTATGATGAAGGTAAAGGAACTTCATATAATTGAATATAGCTCATAAAAGGTGGGGACACTTACCGTGGAGCCCATGATCACATGAAAGCTGATCAAGGCTAATGAAACTTATCAAGTATGAGGTTATGAGAAAAATCTTAATTTCCAAATTTTGGCTTGACGAAATAACGATAAAACTGATTTGAGAAAAACCCCAAGTTTCGCTTCAATCGATGAAAGCTGAGGAAACGGATCGAAGGCTGATGTTCAAAAGAAATAATCCAATTTTCAGCTTCATTGACGAAGGTTCATAAAATTGATTGAAGGGTGATGCTCTGAGAAAAATCCCAAGTTTTAGCTTCACTGACAAAAGCTAATGAAACTGATCAAAGCTGATGCTCCAAGAAAATAATTTTTGGCTTCATCGACGAAGGCGATGAAACCGATCCAAGGCTGATGTTACGAGCTCAAGAGGAAGAACCGAGTATCCGGGCTTTGCATCTTCTAGCTTCTCAAACCAGGAAGTCACCACGTTCAGAACAACATAATCGCAATGAAGTACTTAGCGTAGAGACTTGATAGTCTTGAAACCGACTTATCTAATTGATGGTGATGTTTTTTGTAGCTCAAGGTTTTCTAACACCCGAAGGTGCCTTTGGGTTGTTGAAGGTTGATTGTTCAAGACCCGCCTTCTCATTTCAGCCTTGTTTGTGGAAACCCGCTCATGTCAAGTCTACAAAGCCAAAACTATCATATCTGTCAACGCAGAGGCTCCATTCGTCTCATGGTGCACAGGCTCCCATCATTTCCCGGTCAGGCAGAGGCTCCGGCGCCATATTGCCATGTAGAGGCTCGCACGTGGGATGTTAGTGTAGAGGCTTGCGCGCCATCTCCCGGGGTGCTAAGGCTCCTAGGTCAGCCTCTTGGTGTGAGGCTCCCGCGTGTCTCACGGTGCAGAGGTGTTGTTGAAGAGGCTTCAGCCGTCCCAGATGATGTAGAGGCTCCACGCCCGTCTCGTGGTGCGGAGGCTCCTACATCGAGCCGTTTGTCAGCGGAGGCTCAGCACTGTCTATTGGTGCAGAGGCTCCGCACTATTTCATGGGCGTGAGGCTCTCAGCAGAGGGCTCCTGTCGTCCCCTGATGCGGAAGGCACGTGGTGCGGAGGCCCCTATCTCATCTTGTGGTGCAGAGGCTCCCATGTTATCTACGTGATTGATCCCTCCTACACAAAAGTCACAAAAGCAGGCATCCATGAGGCTGTCCTCGGGGCACTCAAGGTTCAAACCTTCACTCTCGAAAAAAATTATTCATGCCGACCATGGTGGGCGCCAATGTTGGGATATAGGGATCCCGAAAGAGAGTGAGAGTGAGAGGGACGAGCTCGCTGCAGCCTTTCGACATTGGTCAGTAAGGCTCCGCTTTGCAGCGGAGGCCTTCAACCAGCGGAATACGGATCTGAACATGGAGTTCACATAGTTACCGAGGCAATAGTTAGGGTTTTTGAATTACACGCCATCCTCCCACTGGTGGCTGGTTTCAACTTTTATAGGGTACAGTTACAATATTTGTCATATAGAAACACTCCTTAGGCAACCAAGGCATATTCCAATATATTCCAAAGACCTACTGTGCTTGCGCCTCCTGTGGCATTGAGTCCTTTTCTTTTGCTACCGCCTTTGTTGATGGGCGTTTGCGAGTCCGGGCCTTCAGCCCATCATTCTTCACACCGCAACCTCCGATCGATCTTCAGAGTGCCTAGACCTCGATTTTTCACCACAACCTCTGGTGATCTTCATAGTGCCTCAACCTCTGAATTTTCGTCATGGCCTCGACTAACCTTCATGGTGTCTCGACCTCGGACTCCTCATCGCTGACCTTTGGCTTTTTCATAGTGGTTCGGCCTCGACTTTTCCATCGCAACCTCGACTTTTTCTTCAAAGGGCTCCGACCTCCTGATTCTTTCTCCATGACCTCGACTTTTCTTCAATGTGCTCCAACCTCTTGCCCTTTTTCATCGCGCCTTTGACTTTTCTTCAAAGTGCTCCGACCTCCAACTTTTTCATCGACTCTCGACTGATGTTCAAATCGCCTCGGCCTCCGTCTTTTCATCACGGCCTCTGACAAATCTTCATAGCGCCTCGGCCTCGGACTTTTCGTCACAGCCTTTGACAAATCTTCATAGCTCCTTGGCCTCTGACTTTTCACCACGGCCTTTGTCTTTTCTCAAGCTACTACACTAAATTCTATTGGGCCTCTTCAAGGGGGAGTTGGCCCATATTCCATACGGGCTCCCCCAACATCTGCTGAACTGAAAACCATACACATAGAAAAAAAGAGGTGTATATTAGAGGAGCAATTACATTTGGGAGTATAGGGAATGGAATGACGCAGTCAGAAAAATTTAAGGCTGGATGACACTGCTAGACGAATTTAGAGCCGTGCTCTTTGTAAAATGAGTCCATATGTAAACATTAACATTCTACAATTTTACACTTATATGAGAGTGAAGGAGACAAGAAAGTTGAGATCACAGGGATGAATAGACCACTACCATCAGGATATGTAACAAATAACTTCATGAGGAAGCGCCATTTGTGTTGAAGTCAAGGAAATCGAACATAGTTTGCATTTGTATAAAAAATTAAAAAGAAAAATGACCTTTTCTTTCTTACACACAAGACTATCAACAGAGAAAAAAATATGATGATATAAGGTGAACTGTCAATAAGTTATGAGCATCAGGAACTGTTTGACTCGACCAGGCATACATGAATTACGAATTGAAGGTTCCTTCATGTCTTGCACTACTATTTGGCTCGGAGTATAGGAATGAACAATGGAACTATGTCTCACTTATTCTGTCTGTTTTAGTGTTCCATAAAAAAGATATGGGCTATCAATCTAATTTCAAGAAATAGCAGCATTTCATTGATTCAAAAGCAGATGAAATACAACAGTTCAAACAGTTCATGAAAATCATACCACTACATAGCTAAAACATACATGAAAACTGGATCTATCTTACATAACTTTGTCTATGATCACAACTTAAGAAAGGACCCCTAAGAGGGGCTAGGTTGTTTTATATAAAAATAAATGTGACCATCAAAATTCAAGCTGAAGAGGAACACATAGGTCGAGGGTTGGCAGGGGTGGCACACCCACACCTCCCGCCAAACTTAAGACCATAGGTTAAAAGCTACAGCTGATACAAAAGAGAACCAGCATAAATACACTAGAGAAACATGGGGATTCCATCCAAGATGGCCTGCTCCTAGCTAGCGTACTACAAACAGTGCAAATTTGCACATACAACATGCGAGAACCATGATCTGGTCAGCAGCTAGGCGATGCAGAAACATCTCTCTTCTAGAGTCAAGGGGAAAATTCCCAGTCCCCATCAATCAAAGAATCACCATTGTTGACGAAATCTTGCTGAAAGAAAACAGGTTCAGTTAGATAAACATCATATAAGTAGTCGTCATCAATTCCACATGCAAATCCATAGTCTAGACGGGGTAAATTTAAAATAAGCTAGCAATTTAACGTGTCTTATGGTCGGGTTATGCATGAACAAGCATAATGAATCTGAGCAATGCACCTAGTACTAACAACTAGAAGTATTTTTATTTAACAACTAGTTAGGTAAATTCCTCTTGTGTTAATTTACTTTTTTGCACAAAAAATGCGAAATGGAATAAAATGAAAATAAGGACAGAGACAGATTTATGCATAAAAAGGAGGAGAAAGGATCTTGCTTCATTAACCAAGGAAGCAATGAAATCATCCAAGTCATCACTCTCACATTCTGTGCCTCACTTGTTCACATGAGGAATTCATTGATGTTATTCAGTTTGTCACTAACAGCTTGATGATTAACGGTGCTACCTTCATGGAGGTTGTCACTTGCACCACCGCCATTCAGCACCTGGGTCAGCATTGCAGAATTGTCTATCTGAAGGTCAGGTCTAGTGCTTGAAGAACTAGCTAAAGCAGAATTGCCATTCGGCGTCAATGTATAATGTGTGTCGTTTTCAAAGCTAAATGGTACTACTGCTCTCTGAAACCTACCAGTGGTACGGTTTTCCCCATGATTCCTATGATTTTCTTCTGATACTCATTTCCGAAAGTTGGAATCTGTCTAGGGGAGCGTGCAAGTCTAGACAACTGGTTGATCTTGAAAATGTTACCCTGCGTAGGATTTTCAGGCTTTCCAACATTATGACCAAGATCAGAAAACCTTGACGGCACAATAGCTTTCCAGGAGTTGCTAGGTCCTGCAAATTGGTGAACTTCCCTAGCAACCTCGTTAAATCGGACAACAGAACATGATTGAAGCTGAACTGAAGGCTGTTTCACCAACTCAGTAGACTGCAATGGTAAATGACTAGAAGGAGCCAGCACGTCACCATTTGCTACATCTTCGAAAGGAATACCTCTGCTTGATCCCAAAATCTTGCCACACAATATACTCGCATAGAAGCTGCAAGAACGAGATGAAGAAAAGCACATGTTCGAGGTCAATGTTGGACTGTCATTTGAGCTATTTGCAAATGAACGCCCTGAAATATTAACAGAGGAATGTTTGCTTGCGCTCAACACCACACGATTTGAAATATTTCCAATTGAGCTGCCATAAGGACCAGAAGGTGAGCACTGGCTTGCACCTGGCAGTCCACCACTTGATACAGGTGCATAGGACTTGCTAGAAGAGATGAATCTGCTGATATCCTGCGCTAGCATAGGCATAACATCTTTGGGCAGGTTGACACCGTGGTCAACTGGTTCCATGTTTGACCAAGGAATGCCAAAGTTTTTCTGTGAGCTCATGACATGAACTGACTGTGTGGGCAGCAAAGTTTATGCTCCAATTGCAGATGAGGAATTCATCTTTGCAAAATGGTTGCTTGTGCTCGGAGAGCCAATGAAGGAGGGGACATTCATGTTTCTCCGCAATGCTTCAGTTTCATCAGCAAATGGACTAGAATTCCTCAGTGTGCCATCGTTGAGCTTTCTGAGATAGATTCGGTACTTCTGAAATAAAAAAATAGAAACATGTTTTTGTTAAGAAACAAGTTTTATCCAAATATATTTAACAATAATATAGTGGATAGGAACACAAGCATAGTGATCGAGCATAAGAGTAGAAACCAAACCTGCAGATGACTAGCGACATTCTCTCTCTAGTAAGGCCATCCACATTCATGATTTCTAATATCTTCTTAGGAACAGCCCCTGCATTTACAGCAACAAAATATTTGTTAAGAAAAACATACTCCCTCCATCCCAAAAAATATATGATCATGTGGTTTAAATTTTGTCTCAAAAAACATGTAAACCTAAGTTGGATATCAGATTTTAAGTGGAGCCCACCAAAAAAAACAAAACATGTATTTGACAGATCACCACACGCATGACCCTATCCATCCATCTGTCCTCCACCAAAGCCTCCCTCCCTTTTGAGGAAAAATAACGACAGATCAGAAGAATCCAGAAATGCGTTATGAAACAAAAAGGCAGGGCACATGTGTAATTTTGCGTCTCTGCTAATCCCACCTTGAAACTCGAAATTTCCATGCTTTTGGGACGGAGGGAGTATTTAATAGAAAATTGTTGATTGATAAAGCCATGAAATGCGAAAACTTACTATCGATGCCAATCTAACTGACAGCTTCTACAAACTTCCAGTGTAGTTGACCACACCACTGGACCCTTTTCTTCTTCTGGGCTGATGTATTCTCGTTGTCCTCATCAACAACATCCACGACCTTTTTGTTTTTTTTAATACATCTTTCTACGGTTTGCTCCAACCTCACCTTTATCAACATCGCCAGATGGCAACTTCTGAACATCATCATCACTGCTGATGTTGTTCCGTGGATCAGTCTTACTATTCTTCACCACATGATTCCATATGCCTCTAAGCTGTTCGAGGCGCACCGGCTTTACCACATAATCACAGGCCCCATGCTTTATCCCTTTCACTATAGTCCGTGTCTTGCTGTTTGCAGATAGCACTGCATGACATAAGGCAACATAAGTCAACTCTTCGACATTCAAAAGTCAATGAGCTCAATAGACTAGAAGTGATGGCTGGTTTGAACCATAGCGCAATAATTCCCCCCTCTTAGATGCAAGAAAGTTGAACGAAAAATATGGTTTAGATGATAAATCTACCCCAAGACCAATTAGACATATGAAAGGGTGCTTAAAGCATCAGCAAAGTATATATAACAACAATACAATTCCAAAGAAAGATACTCCCTCTCTGGTCACAAAAACATGTCATTTTGGGCAAGCTTTCAAAGCTTAAAAACTACAAACATTCTTAACTTTTAAATTAATGAGTTTCAAGATATATAAGTTGTATGTATAAATTTGTATTCAAAACACTTGCAAAGCCTCATGAATAAGAATTTTAAGAAATATTTTAGAACAAATTAGAGGTCAAAGATAAACATCGACCTTTTACTAAAAAGATCTGGCCAAGAACTGTGGTGCAAAGTCAAATGTGAAAATTATTTTTGACCAAAGGTAGTACTTCAATGAATTTTCTCAAGCGAAATATTTTCTTTTCACAAATCGCCGGTGGCTAGCGTCAGGTTGACATGGCTTGTCCTTGAGAAGTAGAGGCACAAGCAGTGAGCAAGGACCAGACGATGAATGGCTTGGGCGAAGTAAGATTGGTTGGATGGAATAGGAGCTACTCCTCGCTGACGGGATGATGCATAGCGGTATGGGTTCATCAACTCCGTGAGGGGAACGATCTCTCTACCGGCCATTGGAACTAGGGAGGAGGAGAGCTTTGGTGGTGCTAGAGATGGAATGCTTTGATAGAATGGCTATGGAGCTAGGCAGGGGCTCATTTATATAGGGGAAAAACTTGCAGTAGGGGTCAAGATCTATCTATTAGGAGTCTTGTAATGAAGGATTATGTGAATGCGGCAAAAAACTGTGGGATAGCGGAGGGAAAGGTTCTAGAATACACGAGAGAATCGACCGCTTTGCAGGTGGTGGCAATGTGGACCGGCCAGGTCCCACATGGTGGCCCCCATGGAGATTTTTTCTGGGCTGTTTCTAATCCCTATCTAATCCCAAAAACACTATTTATCCGTTATGAAACATAAAGATGATGGCAGTGGTGTAAATCTATGGTAAAATCAGAAAATCTACCTCATCCAAATCCTCAGGTGTTTTTTCAGGTTCTAGAAAGATCTTGAGACGGTGGCCATTTACCTTGAATAACGTACCTTCATCATTTTGAAGTGTTACCGCTCCATGCGACGAAGTGCTTATAACCTTGAATAGTCCTTCCCATTTGCTTTGAAGTTTTCCGTGCCAAATAATTTAACCCTAGAATTAAAAAAGTAATACCTTATCTCTGGGGCGGACTACTTCTTCTTGATACTCTTATCATGCCATCTCTTGGTTCTCTCCTTGTATACCTTGGCATTATGATATGCTTTTTCATGCCATTCATCAAGCTCGTAGAGTTGCATCTTCCTCTTAGTTCCGGCGACTTCAAAGTCCATGTTCTATCGCTTGATAGCCAAGTGAGCTTTGAATTCTAGCTCAACAGGTAGATGACAAGTCTTCCCATAGACAAGTTGGTATGGTGACATCCCAAGTGGTGTTTTATAGGCCGCCTCAGAGGGCCCATAGTGCATCGGGTAGCCTATCCTTCCATACAGGTCCCCATCTCATTGACCTGCCTTCAGAGAATGTTCTTAATTTGTTTGTTCGATGTTTCGCTTGGCCACTTGTCCTCAGGGTGGTGCAGAGAAGCGACATTGTGATGGATCCCATGCTTCAACAAGTACTTGTAAAAGTTCTTGTCGATGAAGTGAGTGCCTCCATCAATAATCATAATCCTTGAAACTCCGAATCTTGAAAATATTATTTCTTCAAACATCTTCATGGAGTTCTTAGCATCAGCAGCTCTGCATGGCATGGCTTCAACCCACTTAGAGATATAGTCAACTGCCACCAAGATGTATTCACAGTTCTTCGACTTTGAAAACGGTCCCATGTAATCAATACCCCAGACATCGAAAAGCTTGATCTAGAGGTTGTTGGTGAGTGGCATGGCATCTCTTGAATTAATATTCCGTGCTCTCCGACACGCCTCCACACCTCGGATGAAGTCCTTCGTATCTTCATACATGGTTGGCCAAAAGAATCCACTTTGCCAAATCTTTCAATGAGTGCGGAATGCACCATAATGTCCTCCATATGGTGATGAGTGTCATCGTTCTATGATCTTGTTGCCTTCCTCTTCCGGTACACATCTCCTGAGTAGGCCATCAGAGCAGACTCTGAAGAGGTACGACTCATCCCATATGTGGAGACGACTTTCATTGATGAGCTTCCTTTTGTTTTCCGACAAATAACATAATTCAATTACATATAGGGAAAACCGTAACATATATGTAACTAAAATTGAAAACAATGGGAGGTCGATTTGGCTATGAACTAATAGTAACACACACAAGTACAAAAACAAATTTTATCATAGAGCAATGCAGCGAAAAGTAGAGGAAGGGGATTTATAGCAGGGGCAAGGGGATTGGGGAGGAGCGCGGATCGGAATGCATGCAAGTGACTGCAAAGATGGTAGGTGTTCATCCTTGTGACATGGAATTTCTCTCGCATTAATTCCTGCCTTTAGTTAAGCACCAGCCTTGACCTTGCTGGGTTTTCTCATAGCTTGTGTGCTGTGGTTCGCTTCAGTTTCTTCATGGATGGAAAACCAGCCAAACCACCCAAAAATCGCCCATGGTTTAAGAATTGCGGTCTGCAACGGAGTCCGGACAGAGGGACAATGGGGTTTGGGGGAGGAGCGCGGATCGGAATGCATGCACACGGCTGCAAAGATGGAAGGTGTTCGTCCTTGCGATGTGCATTAATTCCTGCCTTCAGTTATCCTATGTTTCCACCACCAACCTTGGCCTTGCTGGGTTTGCTCGTTGCTTGTGTGCTGTGGTTCGCTTCAGTTTCTTGATGGATGGAAAACCTGCCAAACCACCCAAAGAATCGACCATGGTTCAAGAATTGCGGTCGATCTACAGCGGAGTCCTGACGGAGGGGCAAGGGGATCGGGGAGGAGCGCGGATCGAATGCATGCGCGCAGCTGCAAACATGGAAGGTGTTCATCCTTGCGATGTGCATTAATTGCTCTCTCCATTTATCCTGTGCTTCCAACACCAGCCTAACTCTTGCTGGGTTTGCTCGTTGCTTGTGTACTGTGGTTCGCTTCAGTTTCTTCATGGATGGAAAACCAACCAAATCACCCAACAATCGCCCATGGTTTAAGAATTGCGGTCTGCAGCGGAGTCTTGACGGAGGGTCAAGGGGGATCGGGTGAGGAGCACGGATTGGAATGCATGCGTGGCTCTGCAAAGATGGAAGGTGTTCGTCCTTGCGATGTGCATTAATTCCTGCCTTCAGTTATCCTGTGCTTCCACTACTAGCCTTAGCGTCAGCTGGGTTTGCTTTGTTGCTTGTGTGTTGTGATTCGCCACGGGGATCGGAATGCATGCTTGCTGCTGGCTGCAAACATGGAAGGTGTTCATCCTTGCGATGTGCATTAATTCCAACTTCATTTATCCTGTGCTTCCAACACCAGCCTTAGCCTTGCTGGGTTTTCTCGTTGCTTGTGTACTGTGGTTAGCTTCAGTTTTTTGATGGTTGGAAAATGTAACACCCTAAAATTCGCATTTTTGGAAATAGAGCTAAAAAGATTTAATTTGTAATTTTTGTGCTCATGAAATATAGAAAAAATATTTTTTATTAAATTAAAATTCGTTATAAGGAGTAGCAACATGGATGTG